TGCTCCCGCCTTCCGTCCTCCTCATTGGCTCTCCTGCCAAGGTTCTCTTGTGACAGGCAGGTGCTGACTGGGGTACCCGCTACAATAGGTGAAGGAGTTATAGTAGAACAAAAGTCAGGATCTCATTGAACAGACTCAGGAGATAGTGGGATCGAATGGAAGATAGACTTAGTTTCAATTAAAAGAAAAGGGCAGAAGAGAGAAACTAATACAAACATTGACAAGTGTGACGAGGGAAAGCAACGGGTACTTTTCCCCTCATAAAAGAGCTAGACAGTTCTGAATGAAAGTATGTAGAATGTTAGTAGCAGATGGGAAGTAAAGACTCATAACATACGTACAATTTTTCTCTTCTTGAGGAATAACATAAAGGCCCCAAAGTAGTAGGGGGCATATTTCAGGAATGCAAGGTCTCCATTAGCCCCACCACAGACTCACACAGAAGATATATATTTCATAGTTCACGAAATCTGAATCTAAAGATTTCTTTGGCACAAAAACTGAATGCAACTCACAATGCACGTGCACAAACACACACATATACAGACCTCATTTTATCAGTATAATTAATGATAAAAACTGCAGTCATTTCGATACTGCTATCATTCAATACCTGTGAGTCAGAAAGCCGCCTAGAGTAGTCATTCGATTAGATAGGCGGGAGTATAAATGTAATAAATAAATAAAGCTTTGTTAATCTACTACAAATCACCCACATAGCTACCAAAATATCTGCATTTACCTTCACCTCATCTTTACTTCTCATCATCTTAAAATATTAGAAGGTTAAAAAAACTAGAACAGCAATGGTGGGAGGCAGTATGTATAACAATAGAAAAATGAAAAGTGAATTGTTAAAATGGCCTTATTTATTAAAGCTAGCATAGAATATCAGGAAAAACGTCTTAACCATTAGAGTAGTATGAAAATGGAACCAATTACCTAATGAAGTGGTGAGCACTCAAACTCTGGAGGCCTTCAAGAGTAAATTGGACAACCATCTGTCAGATCTGCGCAGACCCCCCTGTGAGGACATTGTAGCCCCCACCCCCCGGAGTCCACACATTGCAGGTTAAGAATCTATGCCTTAGAGCCAAGAAGAAGCATACTTACTGAGGTTTGCTGTCAAAGAAGAATTTTTTTTTCTAATTTAATAATAATCATGTGCTGTCAAGTCAATTCTGACCTATGGCAACCCTATTCAGGGTTCTTCAGATACAGAATACTCAGAAGTAGTTTACCATTCCCTTCTTTTGGGACGTACTCGAACTGTGCAGCTTGCCTAAGGCCACTCTCTTGCCCAAGGGTGGATTTACTCACAAGAGGCCCAGTGGGGAATCAAACTACAAACCTCTGGTTCCACAGCTAGATGCATAAACTATTGAGCATTCTGGCCAGCCATTTCTGATATACAGTGGTCTTTTCAATAAATTTCAAATTAAAAAAAATTAATTTGGCCTTCAACTCCTTGAAAAATTATTTAGCTAAGATAACTAAAGACAGAATTAGCAAAGCTTCCAATGAATAAAGGCAGATAAATTTGATCAATCAAATACTAGAAGTAGCTGGCTTGAAGTAGTATTCCTGACGGAGAAAAAGCCACTTCAGTTACTGATGATATTAAACAGCAATTCATTAATGAGACACAAGTTTGTATACTAAAACTGTATTAGTCTTTTAGGTATCCAAATATAATAGAAACACACTTGCTCAGAAATCCAGAGACAAGAAAATGTATTTTTCGGACTAGAACTTCCAAAATCCCACAGTTGGCATGTCCACTGCCTTTCAGTTGTGGAATTCCAGGAGTTATAATCTGCAAATAAATGTTTCCCATCTCTAGGATAATCCCATGTATAAATGTCAGAGACTGGAAAAAATAGTTGCTTGGCAACCAACCAAAGAGTACATGTTAGAAGACTACTGAAGAGCCTAAGGAGATAAGGATGCATATCAGCTTTAGTGTGGAAAGAGCCTGTCATCAACATTATGAGGCAGATTAAACTAATATTGTCTTTGAACTAATTCACGCAAACAGTGATAAGCAAACAGATACAGTGATATACTTGTATTGCTGTACACATGGAACAAGACATATGAATGAATACTTTTTTAAAAAAGGAAGTTATTGGACAGAGAAAACTAGATATGCGGAAGAAAAGTTCTAACCTAGTTCTTCCTAATTATGAAAACAACTGTAAATGGCCTCAGAAATTTATGACCTGCATTCACAGATGGGACTCACATACAGGTGCTGCAGAATTGACACGAGAACTTCTACCCCTGTGTTCGTAGGTGATAGATCTTGTCAAAAACTGTATAAAATTCCTAAAACACGCTCCTATTGTGCCCCTAACCAATCAGGCAAAGTTTAGCTCGCTCTTTCTTCTATGTAATCTTCGTCTGCCCATTCTACTAAAATATTTGTTACATTTTTAGTATGCCTCTGTTGCATAATTCAAAATACACTGAGTCAGCTGCTGTACATATGGTTGTTTTTGTTCCCATATAGTAGGGGCATGTAGATACTGATTAAAGCCTCTAGGGTACCTATTAGCACAGCTATGAAGTCACCATAAAAACAAGCATTAGTAGCCATTAATTGGAAAAAGAAAACAGCCTGCAGCAAGGAGCTTCTTAAACGTGGTTTTGTGCTTCAGGAACAGGACACTTGATGTAAGGACAGGGTAAGGTAGAGATATTTCATACAGTATTTGCTTCCGTTTTCTGTAATATTTGAATAGGAATATAATGTTTGCACCAAATTTTAGCTGATTTCTAATCCATTTTTTATCTCCTTTCATAAGGGTTAACTGAATAGATTCCCTTGATTAAACATCAATGCTTTACTGGAATATGGGAAAGGGAGATGATCTCCATATCTGTTTGATGTGGTACATCTGAGGAAGACTGCATTATCTGTGTCTCTGAACAGTCTCAAATCCCGCCATTTTCTGTGGTGCAGTAACCTACTTCAAAACGCTGTCAAGAAAATGACTGAAATAAATATAATAAACCACTTTATCCACTTAAAAGTCTACAGAACAAACATACAGTACTTGCAAAATATGTTGTCCTACAAATTGCACACTTAAAATGGCTCCAAAGTCCATAGTATTGGTTGTGTGTGTAGAGTATCAAGAACTGTGAGTGTTAGCAAGAATTACTGAAAATGAAGTTCAGGCACAAAAGAGTGTGCAGGTGAAAGGGATTAAAAAATGTTCTGCATGGACAGCAAGGAAGAGCAAAGAATCCAAGATAATCCCTTTTATTTCTGAGAAGTTGTTGTTAACATTAAAATCATGAAAGGATAGTACTGAGTTTCCCCGAAAATAAGACAGGGCCTTTTATTAATTTTTTGTTGTTGTTAACATTAAAATCATGAAAGGGTAGTACTGAGTTTCCCCGAAAATAAGGCAGGGCCTTTTATTAATTTTTGCTCCAAAGATTCATTAAGGCTGATTTTCAGGGGATGTTTTATTTTTTTTCATGTACAACCATCTACATTTATTCAAATACAGTCATGTCATCTTCTTCTGGTTGCTGCACATTGATGGAGGGTGGCGTTTCACTTAACTATGGGTTATTTTTGGGGTAGGGCTTATATTACGAACATCCTGAAAAATCATACTAGGGCTTATTTTCAGGTTAGGTCTTATTTTCGGGAAAACAGGGTAGATACTGTCCCACCACTACCAACAATGATTTACAACCAAGTCACATTACAAGTAACACCACAGCGCTTGGTTGGAACATAAATCTCATTTATTTGAGTAAGATGTTTAGCCTAATTATAGACATATTATTTGATGCTGTGCAATTTTAGACATACTTACACAGGCATACTTGCACTACTGAGATCAATGGGGCTTCCTTCTGAGTAAAAATGAATGAATTAGCACTCATAGCATTTATTTTACATTAATATTACATTGAGTGGTGGCAGCTATCCATAGTTTCTGATTCCTACATAAAAATGCCAGCGACTAACCTTCTGTGTATTCAGAACTCTGAGCTTGTGTCCGAAACAATTAAACCTTCAATATTCTGGCTTTACCACTGTGCTAACAGTCTCTCCACAAAATCGATAAAAACACAATCCCCATAATCAGTTTTATGGCTTTTTAAAAAAGACTCTTATTTTTAGTTTTATTTCAAAATCTTGAAGAAATGCTTTAAAAATTGTTTTCTCAGCTGGATTTCTTTTATAGATGCTACTTTTTCAGTAGATTAGATCAGAAAGGTTGTTATAGGGGCCGTTGACAGTAAACATGTGTTGCTATGTTCCAAATTATATCTCTGTATAATAATATACTGATTCTGTGTTTTTCTTACTACAGTATATTTCAACTGCTACATTTTTGTGTATTATTCATTTCTTTTAGAGTAAAATGGTATATTTCTGTTCCTTTCTGAATATAATTATATTGTTGCTGTTTTTTAAAAAAGCTCAGTATCACATTCCACATTCACATCTCAGAACTATAAAAACCACAAACAGACAGAGCCCCAAACCTAGCCATATACTCTTGAGCAGGTACCACTGGGAATATTGTGTTAATGGAAGATACTCTCTGTCTGCCACAAGTGTTGGACTATGACTCCATTCATGCACTCTGCGTAGTTAAGGGGGAACTCCTTTTGGTTGTAGGAGAAGTCGGGACCATGACAGATTTGATGCTGATCAGGAAAGCAAGGATTACAGAGAATTCTGTCACCAAACTAGATCTCTCTCTCTCTCTCTCTCTCTCTCTCTCTCTCTCTCTCTCTCTCTCTCGGCTGCTGAAAGAGAGATACACTGAATTTTAGTCTTTAGTTGCTTTTCTAATGTACCAGCATTTTGGGGGAAAGGCTTCTTCTGCCCTTTCTAGTAGGCTGTGTGATAGCCAAGCCAGCCCACTAGTTGTTTTACTAAATAATTCATCATGCTCCGGTGATCATCGAGGTATAAGGAGGGGCCTGATTTCATTTACTGCTTCAAGCCAATCGGGCAGTAAGGATGCAGTAGAGTAGGGTGACGGTGAACGCTGCCAGTGTGCTGCAAATGTGAAAGAAAAGCAGGGACTTGCTGTTTATGTGCCGACTAGAAAAGAAGAAACAGATCCAGTGAGGGGGCCCCATGGATTAGGAGACCAGCTGGAAGGTAAGACCTAAAGTGCAGTTATCTCAAGGATTAAGCAACACAATGCAGACCTTGCGTGTAAGAATTCCTTTTTTTGCTAAAGACCTATTTTCCTATTTGTGGGGGAGGGAAATATGGGTGTATGAATGTCTAATCCATACGCCTGCTGGCATGTAGGTTTACCAGTGCGTTTGTCTTTGTCTGCTGGATACATCTGCTCTAAATGTGAATACCAAGAAGCTGTGTTACATATGTTCAGTTTCCATTGTGCATTCAGTATAGTATATAATGATTAGTGGTTTATTGTTTTTGTATTTGTAAAACCAAAGGAAGGGTGAAAAACCCTGCAGGAAAGGACATACAAATCAACTCTCAGGGGTAATGTAATAAAAAAATACCCAGCAGTGTATTTTCTTTTCTTTTCTTTCATTTGAAAAGGAAAAGTTGTATTATGCATTTAATGCTTTCCATTTCAAATTGTGAGGCAGGCCTCTCTTGGGAGGTATGACTGTACATGCAGATGCATAGAATACATCATTACAGGGGGAGGAAGGAAAGAGGTTAGGAATAAGAAATACTGAAAAATGAAGATGGGGTGGGGAGAGATCCAGAAAAATAGCAAGAAGGAGAAGACGCCTCTCTAAAGTTGCAGATCAAATTTTACAGCTCCTTCCTAAAACATATGTGCTCAAATCCACCAGTAACTCATGGCTGAATCAAAGGGACTTATTTAGGTGGTGACTTACCATATCCCTTCCGATTCAATGGGCTTATTCTAGTTTCAACTTAGTACTAGATTTCAGTGAGTAAGTCCAGCCAGTTTTAGTGAGATATGCACTGCAATACTATGCATCTTTGCTCTTGAGTTTACTCCCAGGTAGGTGTGCATAACTTCGCATCTACCTTCTAGACAGTTGCATGTTCTTGTACTCACAATTTCATTGTAGAATTGCATACAACAAGCAAAACTAGCACTTATTCATAGAGATGTTATCTTCCGCTGCTCATACAAATCTAGAAAATTGTTTCTATAGCCATTAGTCCAGTGGGACGTGGTGGCGCTGTGGGCTAAACCACAAAAGCCTGTGCTGCAGGGTCAGAAGACCAAGCAGTCGTAAGATCGAATCCACGCGACGGAGTGAGCACCCGTCACTTGTCCCAGCTCCCGCCAACCTAGTGGTTCGAAAGCATGCAAATGCAAGTAGATAAATAGGGACCACCTCAGTGGGAAGGTAACAGCGTTCCGTGTCTAAGTCGCACTGGCCATGTGACCACGGAAGATTGTCTTTGGACAAAATGCTGGCTCTATGGCTTGGAAACAGGGATGAGCACCGCCCCCTAGAGTCGAACACGACTGGACAAAAATTGTCAAGGGGAACCTTTACCTTTACCTTTAGCCATTAGTCCACCGTGGCAAAAATAACCAATAAGTCTATGGCAACTTATAGACCAACAATGGCATTAGGATATGAGCTTTCATAGGCAAGAGGTTATTTCTAATAGGAAATGTGACCATGCTAGAGGGGGCTATTGTGTACATCAGAAAGCTGACTTTTCCCATCTCTATTCCAACCACTCTGATGTGTGTGCAGTGTATACACATAGGAAAACATGAGATTGCTACTAGAATAAGAGAGTGTGGGGTACTGTTTTCAGTGGCAAACAGAGTATTTGTAGATATAATTCTCCACCCCACTCACACCCATTGCATATATGCCTGGGTGTATGTTGAGATGGCACATTTAGGTAACAATGCATATCAAAGTGCAAAAGCAAAAGTGAGAGTAAAGAAGAGCAACAGAGTGGGAAAGAAAGAGAGATATCTCTCCTTGTAATAGTGCAATTAAGGGTCACTCAATAAAACTGATTAATAATAGGCTTGGGACTAAGAAAAGTCAGTATTTCTTAAGTGACTTCAATCATTAACAGCTGGAGGACATGTTCATCATACCCAGTTGTTTAATGGTTGTTGAAGAAAATTTAGGCACAGATTAGTTCTTTCATGGTATTAACCAATTGAACCTCCACATACAAAAGCAGCATACCTCTGACACTGAATCCTATGGACCAACAAGTGTGAGGTGCAGAGGGAGAGGTTGAATAGTATTTGTAAGTAGCCTAATTGTATTTAGTTTGCCACTGGAAGAAACAGAATCCTAGGGAACCCTAGGAAGGCATTCTTATTTTCTTATACTTGTCCTTATACCCACTCAGCCATGTTCTCATTTTGAATTGGAGGTCAGAACACCAGGGTACTCTAGGAAGGCATCTTATATTTCCTTCTACTTGTCTGTATATCCACCCAGCCAGGTTTTTAGTTGAGATCAGCAGGAGCAAGCCTTGAAATCAACTGTTCAACTTCATTTCTTGTCCTTAGTATTGGAATTAGTATCCGGCATACAAAATTATCCAAAGAAGAACATCCCTCAGCCTGTGAAGAGAATGCTTACCTCCCCACTGGAACTGCAGCAATCATCCACACAATGGGAACTAAGAGGGATAGTTCTCACAGTGTAAATCACAGTTTCTTTCAAATGATTTTTAGCCTTGGAAGGAAAGCAACTGCTCTGTAGGCTGGGAAAGTCTGATTGCTTGCATACTCCTGTCATCACCCTTACAAAACAACATGTGGTACTCCTGTTCCCAAGCCGACAACCCACAATCCTCACCCACTCAAAAAAACAAGGAGAAATACTGGATAAACCATCCACCTGTGCAGTCCTGTCACACATTGGGGTGCCGATGAAATAAGAGTGTACAAACTTTCATACTTCGTTGACATGCTTATAGAGTGGCTGCTTTATGTAAATATAAAAAGCAAGCCATAGCATTAGCACCTTTGTCTAGAAACGTTGCCCAAAGACCTCGAAGAACCACAACATAGAATTTTTTTGCATTCAAAGTACATTTCCACAGAGAACTTTGCTACTTTAGATTATGCTGAGGACATGTTCTTCTCTTCCTTTAAAACATATCTATTATGTATAAGATGTTACTATTTACATGAAAAAAATAAACCTAATGAAACCACTCATACATTTTGGGCTAGCTCAGTGTGAGAATCCTTTTCCCATTGTGAGAGGTGTTAATGAGCAGGGGGGTAGGTGAGCCCAAGCATTGTTCCTTGGCAAGCAGTAATAAATACTAAGTGCTCTATGTAATCAGACTGTATAATGTGAGGAAAGACAGTATGAACAGCTAACAGCATGCTTTATTTCTGGAAGCTATTGGTCTAGCTATACCATGTAGTCATTCTGGTGGTGACTCAACACAACCTCTGTTTCTAAATATATTTATCACTGTTCAAATAATGGGCTTGCACAGAGATTCACTTGCTTTGTGCATGAGTGGAGAGTTCTATTGGGTACACTAGGCTTAAATTACTCCCATATATCTTGCTTGGAAAGGAAAAATACCACACCATCTCTATACCAACTTTGTAGAGTTAATTGTGGGTTCCCTGTTGTGGACTTTGTTGTATGGCTGCAAGGTAGCAAGAAAGACAATAAGCAGCAACAAGCCCTCCCAGCCAGTTGCAATAATACATTCTCCTGCTGCCATCTCACTTCATGTTTGCTGGATAAGAACAGTGCCTCTTGACAGGAGATATGGTAGGGCTGTAGAATGAAGCCTGAACTAGATGCTACATCAGTGGTTTTCAGACTTTCTTATGTGTTAAACCTTGTTTGATTGTAAGTCCACGAGTTTTTCTGATTTCCTGTAGCTTGCTTTTTGGTTTGTAATTGGTCACCAGCATTAAAGACCAACTTCATTCGCATTCTGATTTTTCAGTCATACATGATTTTGGGAACGAAATTCTTGACTGAAACATGAATGCATTTCTTCTTTTGTACTATAACTATAATATCTGATTTCACCCTTAGTTTCTGTAACCCTAGCATAAGAGTCATTGTTCCTACATAATATCTTGCTGTCCAAGAGATGTTAAAGAAACTGTTGCTTGAAAAAGAAACAGTGCAAGCTATAAATCAATATTATTCTAAACCAGTGGTTCCCAACCATGGGTCCCCAGATGTTCTTGGACTAAAACTCCTAGAAACCTTAACCACCAGCTGTGCTGGCCAGGATTTCTGGGAGTTGTAGTCCAAGATTATGTGGGCATCCTAGGTTGGAAACCACAATGCTAAACTCAGAATGTGTGTGGTAGCCAAATAGTACTATGATTTAACCATCATAAAGACAGGATTGTGACCTAATTAGTTCTAATAAACATTGTTTGTTGCTCATAAAATTACAAAGGGTAAAGCAGATATGTGCTATGATGCTCAGAGATTAGCTGAGAAATATTCCAACAACTAATTTTGTCATGGTGTAGAGCAATTGCCTAATTTCCTGCTCTCTTGCTGTGGAAGATACAACCTCCGAACTAGCCAAACTAATTATCAACTACAAATCAGTAGTGAGAAACACTCCAGGTGTTTACTCAGCTTTCCTCTGGATCTTTCTCAGCTTTCCTCTGAACATCCTTTTATTACTGGAGGGGATGGAATTTGATCCTGAGACCTTATAGGCACTACGTATGTGTTGGACCATTAATCTAATCTGGGGAAAGCAATTTTACCCAGTAAAAAGAGCAGCAACAAGATGTTCATAGTGACGATTTTTGGCTTAGTTTTGCACCGAGAAAGTTCAGAGCATCAGAATGTGTTGCTAATGATACAGTACAGGTGTTACTAGCAGATTTTGGTTTTATGGAGTTATTCTGAATCTTAGAGGAATGCTATGTCTGTGGCTGAAGGGCAAGTGGAGTATACAAAGAGAGAAGCAGAGACAAACAAGAACTAGAAATCTTCATTCAAGAGTGTAAATATGACTTGAATGGGGTTACTGAAACTTGGTGGTATAACTACCATGACTGGAATATAGCAATTAAAGGATATAAATTGTTCAAAAAGAACAGAAGGAATAGAAAAGGAAGTGGAGTAGCAGTATATTTCAGAAACATATATTCCTGCACGGAAATACAGGAGAATGAGTTTGGTTGTCTCGTTGAAAGCAAC